GGTCATGCACAGTAGAGCATGGCCTTTCTTTCCATCAACACTCGAACGTATGCTGAGTGCTGCGGGTCCTTGAGCTAGTTTCTGAGTGCAGGTGATGACTCGGCAGTCAACACTAGCACTGTCTGAAGGGTTGTACAGAGCAACAAAAGAGACGTTCTGCTGCTTCTCGTAGAGTGTCGTTCCTTTGGTCTTCGATGGAGGAAGGGAGGTGAAGTTGCTGACGGCGTCCTTCCAGTGGCTCACTGCGGCAACGCAGTCCGCCTCTGCTGTATCCAATGCCATGAAGGCGTATGTGCCGCTTGGAAAGGTATTGCTTGGTGTGCTCTGATCCTCCGTGGCCGGTTCGCCTTCCTGAAATGACAGAATCACGTGTAGAAGAAACAAGACACAGTGAGGAAGAGGATGCGTTGTCTCCGGTGGAAAGGCACAGCTAGGTCCACTCACTGCTATTAGAGCTTCACAAACAGGATGCCAAGGGTTAGATTCTTCTACATCTTGTTCTGTTTGAGGCCACTTATTATTTGATCCTTCGGCGGCCGCTAAGAAGTGTGCAAGTCCAGCAGCTCCACGAGCAGCGTTCATTTCGTCGAGACAGACGCCCGTTTTGCCTGTAGAAAAACGACCGAGACAGACACCACGAGATCAAAAATGAAACAATTGTGCATTCGAAATGGGCCGATGTAGTTGAAAGCTATTGGAGGAACTCATTCGGTTCCAAACGTCACGGATCGTCCAGCACAACTCATCGCCTCCAAGGATGAAGCCCTGCCCCCAGCAAGCAAGTATTAGCCGATTTACCAACCGTTACAGTGTAGGTTGGTGATTCTCCAGGTTGTAGGTCTTCTTCTTGTCCCTTAGATTCTTTTGTGTTTGCTTGGGCTATGAGGAGCGCAGAAGCGCAGGCGAGCGACACAATTTTAAGAGGCGCCATGTTTGCAGTTAACGCCGGTTGCGTGAACGAGAAGTATGAGGCTCGTTTAGTAAACGTTGGGTGGGACTTTAAAGAAGACGTAACGAGAGGTTGCGCAATGAGCGTGCAGTGGGAGGCGGCGAGGGAGCGAACTGCAACTGGCCTGTCCGGTCCCCCCTGAGGCCCTACTGGTGAAGCCCTCCCGCTGGGCTCACGACCTTGGTAACATTAGAAGGGCCTGAATGTGGTACTTTAAGGAACACAGACTACGAATTTCTACCGACATGTGCTGAACCCAACATGAAACTCCAGTGTACACCACGGAAACAGGCTTTGCAGGTGCTCCACGAAACAGACCCAAGGGGAGCGGGGAGCCGAGGATGCGCTAGCTCGATTCGTATTTTTCTACTGGTGTACCAACTTAATATAATAAATTCGAGTCTTTTAGCTGCCTTTTTCGTATAATTTGCCCTGTAATGGTTGCTGTGCGCTACTCTGCCTTCGGTCGCAGGACGGGTCTCCCGTCGGGGCGACGGCGAGTGCCCCTCTGGAGACGCTCTCCTCTGCTTGCACATAAGTAGGGAGGTTTGTATGCTTGCATAAGACATGTAACAAGTTGATTGGAAATGCTTCCCGTATCAAATGCCTCTGTACACGGCGCACACGCCCCTCTACACAGTGCACATGCACCCAGGAGTGTCTGCATGCACAAATGCATCCAGGCACACTTGAAGTAGGCCAGCGACGTGTGAGACTTTGGCTAGATCACCTGAGAGTCATAAGGCCTGTGAGCTCCACTAGCAGAGCACACGCAGTAGGTACGACCCGGGCCAGCGCAACAGAAGCCAATGAAAGGGGCAAACGTTTGCTGTTCATAGTTATAAAAAGGACCGAAACAGGCCCGTCGACCAGTGGCGCATTAGACGTAAGGCCAAAAAACGCAATTAGGAGTATATAAGGCGTGTGTTGAAGGCTTTCGGTAGCCGGGGTCCTATTGATGCAGCGGAAAGCAAACACCTTCTTTAGCTGTACACGCCAGTCAGAGTGTCTGCTCTGAAGGAAGGAAATGTAAATATGACACTGCGGAGAGTGGCTCTGCTTGGATAATATCATCAACCGCCGGGTGCCACGGGGATGTCACTGCTTTAAAGGAACAACACGCCAAGGGCCGCAACAGCAAAGACGAGCAGACTCGGGGCAACTGCAGGGGCAGAGCCTGTGAGGGATGCCTTGATCTTGTTCCACTGCTCTTCGCTGCGCGCAATTCGCCAACAGATGAACAACACACAACACTGTATTCGCATCCGTAGGCCAAGCCCTGTACCCAACTATCGTTTTGCAGAATTTGGTAGCCAACTTACGTGAAGGGAGCTTCGTTGTCTTCAAGTGCATCAGGTGTGGTCATGCACAGTAGAGCATAGCCTTTCTGTTCACCCGCACCGCTCCGGGAGCTGAATACTGTGGGAGTTAAACTTGCGCTTTGAGTGCAGGTGACTATTCGGCAGTCAGCCGTGGCTTTGTCCGAAGGGTTGTACAAGGCAATAAAAGAAGCGTTATGCTGTTTCTCGTAGAGTTCTGCTCCGTCAGTCTTCGATGGAGGAAGGGAGGTGAAGTTGCTGGCGGCTTCCTTCCAGTAACTCACTGCGGCAGCGCAGTCCGCCTCTGCTGTATCCAATGCCATGAAGGCGTATGTGCCGCTTGGAAAGCCACTTCCTTCGGAACCCTGTTGTACCGTGATTTCTTCTTCTTTCTGCATATACAATGGCGTGGGGGAATAAACATGACGGAACGGAGTAGAGAATACGAGGCCACAGATGGAAGGCAAGGACTAAGGACACTTACTTTTAGCAGAGCAGCGCAAACAGGATCCCATGGCTTAGCTTCTCCGTTGAGTGCCTCTGCACCAGTGGTAGGCCATGTTTTTAAGCCTTCCTCGTCCGCCAAGAAGTGTGCTAGTCCAGCGCCCCCACGGGCAGCGTTAATTTCGGCAAGGCACACACCAGGTTTGCCTGTAGACAAGTGGCCGATTCAGACAAAAAAAACCTACTTGCGCCAGTACTGATGTTTCTGAAGATGGGGTGGTTTGTCTAAAGCCCTCAGAGGGGCCAATTCACCTCTAAACAACACTGAACATCCAGCACAGCTCGCCGCCTCCAACGCATATACTTTGGACAGTCGAAACTGAAGCTCTCCCCAGCAAGCAATTGTTTGCCAACATACCAAGATCTACTGTGTAGGTAGTCGATCCTTCCCCATCTGGGCCTCCACCTTGCTCTGCATCTCCCTGTGCTACTTTGGCCATCAGGAGCGCAGAGGCAGCGGCGAGTGAAATGATTTTAAGAGTCGCCATGTTTGTGGAGTTCAGGGAGAACGTGGGAGCAAGAGGAATAGCACGACGATGCAATTTGAAGGGACTCCAACTAGAGACGTGACCTTGTGTTGCGCAGTGTGTGCTCAGGAGCAGGCGGTGAGGGAGCTAACTGCGACTGGCCCATTCGCTCCGGCGCGGGGTCCTTCTGCATAAGCACTGGCTTTGGGTTTACGACATTGCCGCAGTTAACTGTACTTAAATCGTATATTTCAAGAAGTATTACCTAGAAAATTTATCCTACAACTGCTGAACACAACGTGAAATCCCTGTAACAGGACGCGCTCGGCCCTGCCATTGTCCAACGAACCAGATGAGCGCCGGGGTCCCTCGATCTCGGTTCGTGCGTAGCGGCCGATTAATTCGAAGCGTTTGGGTTGTTTGTTTGATGGCTTATTTTGTATAAATTGCTCTAAAACTGTGGCTCCGTGCTCTTGTGACCTTGCTGGAGGGAGTCGTATGGTGTCCCTTCACACGTGGGGCGAGCTGCCCTTCGGCGAGGCTTTCTCTGCTTGCAAATATAAGGGTAAGAAGGAGTCATTAGCCCGAACATAAAAAAGCAAAAGAACAGTTAAGGGAGGCTCATTCATCAAATTCCGGAGCATCTCTCCCGTACTTCGCCAGGTGGCAACGTGCGGACTGCTGCAAATGCTGCAACAACTGCTGCTAGTCGCTAGAGTGAATGCTCTCGTCCACAGGACGCACGCATGCGAGACAGCATGGACGCACAGACGTGTGTAGAAACGCGAGCCATTATCTGGCGAAGCGTGATGCGTTGGTTCGATAACAGGCATGTCATAATACCCATTAATTTCATCAGCGGTACGGAAACAGTAGGTACGACTCAGGCCAGTGAAACGAAATCAGTCGAGAGAGGCAAACATTGCCTATCCGGAGAAATAAAAAGAGGTGAAAAAACCTTTCAGGGGGTAACGCATGACGCTGGTGCCAATAGAATTAGAAACAGTCTGAGAAGACCTGTACACTAATGGCACTTGCAGCGCAAGGCTGACTGGCGCACACTGAAATGTTTGTGCGTTGAAAATGCTTAATAACCGCAGTCCTAGGGAGGCAGCGGGAAAAAACACCCGACAAAGGCTCCGACGTCTGTCTGTCAGCGGGTCTGTTCTGAAGGCGCCAACATGTGAATAGGGCACTGCGAAGCGCGGTCTTCCTTGAATGCAATCAGGAACCGGTGCGTGTGACGGAGAGGCCACTGCCTCAAAAGGCAGCCAGGCCAAGGGCAGCAATAGCAAAGGCAATGAGACTCGGGGCGGCGACTGAGGCTGAGCCTGTGAGGGATGCCTTGATCTTACTCCACTGGTCCTCCCTGCACGCAGTTTTTCAACAGATGAGCAGCATACAACATTGCAGTTGCAGGCACATGCCCAGCTCGGTGTGCAATTGTTACATTGCAGGGGTTGGTATAAGACTTACGAGAAGGGAGCAGGACTATCAGCTGTCATCAGGTCAGGAGTGGTCATGCACAGTAGAGCGTAGCCGTTCTTTGCTTCAGTACTACTCCGTAATTTGAGGGATTTGCCTTCTGGAGCTGGCGTTTGAGTGCAGGTAACGACTCGACAGTCAGCAGCTGCACTGTCTGAAGGGTTGTACATTGCAACAAAAGAGACGTTCTCTGGTTTGCCGTAGAGTTCCTCTCCTTCAGTCTTTGATGGAGGAAGGGAGGCGAAATTGCTGACGGCGGCCTTCCAGTGGTCCACTGCGGCGGCGCAGTCCGCCTGGTTTGTTGATAGGGCCATGAAGGCGTAAGTACCACTTTTAAATTCAGTTGTACTTGTGCCCTTTGGATCTGCTTCTTCTGAGTCCTTCTGAAAGGATAAAAGCACGCAAGAAGCCACCGCCCAACATGAAGTAGGGATAGGAGGTCGAAGGGCACAGGCCGCAATGAAAGACACTTACTGCTATCAGAGCGTCACAAACAGGATCCCATGGGTTGGCGTCTGGCTCATCCTTTTGTAATCCACTTGTAGGCCACATATCCTCTACCGTTTTGACCGATTCGAAGTGTGCGAGTCCAGCGGCTTCACGGGCATCGTTGATTTCGGCGAGACACACGGCAGTCTCCCCTGCATAAAATCGAACGATGCAGACATCGTAAGCCAATATATAAAAATACTCATACTTTCGAAAGCGTGTCGGAGACATTTAGTGCCCTTCGAAGGACTCCTTTCGCTTGAACCGCCACTGACCCTCCAGCACAACTCATCGCACAACGCAGTTACTTTGGACCATCACAAGGCTGAAACCCTCCCCAGCAAACAAGCACATGCCGACATACCGAGTTTTACGGTGTAGGCTGAGGATGATTCACTCGACGTCAATGGGTTTTGCTTTGCGGTTTGATGTACAGCGTTAGCCATCAGGAACGCAGATGCAGAGGCGAGCGAAAAAATTTTAAGGGCCGCCATGTTTTCAGTGTGGAAGTTGAATGCGTCAAAATGAAAACAGGAAGAATGGGGAAACTTTGGGGGGGCTTCAAGGACAGACGTAACATTATGTTATGCAATGTGTGCGCAGGACGACGCGGCGTAGGAGCGGACTGCGACTGGCCAATCCGGCCCGGAGTGGGGTAATTCTTCCTATGCGGCGGAGTTGAGTTTACAACCCTGTTGCTGTTAAGAATACTTCAATGAGGTATTTCAAGAGTTATTGTCTGCACGGTGCTCTCTACTGCCACCGAACGCGAGATGAAACGCCAGCGGAAAATCCCCGCCATCCTGGGCGAATCGACGATGCGAAGGGCCGATGTCCATCGCGGTCGATTAATCTTGTTCTGTCCACGCATCACCTCCTTATAAGGTATCTGAGCAACTGATGAACCTTTTAACTACATAGTGTCTTGACGCTGTGGCTCTCCGCTCTTCTGACCGCGGTCCAGGGAGTTGTATGGTGCCACTTCTTGCTACTGCCGGCGACTCTCCTAACTTTGAGCTATACCAGCAGAAAATATATCATTGAATTTTAGGTGAAAATGCTTGAATTATTACATATCTTTTCAGGAGAAAACCGTTAAAATCGACGGCACTGAATTTTACATTAAGGGAGTCCCCTTTTATTAAAAATCAGTACAAAGTTGGACTGAGGCAGAGTCCCTATGCCGAGTAAGAAGCACTGGATTGGATACCCAGTTACGTGCAGCTTAAAAAGGCGAACAGACCAACCCTTGAGACATACTTCAGCCTAAGGATGAGAGGAGTCAAAATTTCATCAGTGGAAAATAATACTTTTTTTAACATAGCAGGATCGAATCTTCCCTGAGCGACTCGTTAGGCAAATAAAAAATTGAGCTATAACGCTAGCTATATAACGCAAAATTTAATGCCTTCGACGGTGTGTGTGTACAAGGCTTATTCACCCCCGTAAGGCTGACCGGCGATTACTAGCGATTCCAGCTTCACATAAATAAAATGCAATTTATGTATATCTCCCATTCAGAAAACTTCAAAATTTATTGCATATATGCTAGTTAGAGTATTTACTATTTCTAAAACGTCTTTCTTCGCTAAACTTCCCTTTTGTTTCTTAGAAAAACTAAGGGAAGTTTAGCCGGGAAGTCAGTGTCTAAGAAGTATGATGCCATTATCGCACAAGCACACAACAAGTTAAGGGAATATATTGACGTGTTAAAAAATTTTTGTAGGGTGTCGGGCAGACGTCATAAACTATACCTCCCCATCGTGCATAAAGGGCTTTATGCACGCTCAGATGTGCGGAAACACCTGAGTATGCAGCGACGCACGGTGTACTGGATCGAGAACCGGAGAGTCATAATGCCGGCCAATCGAGCCAGTAAAAAAGAAAAAGTACGTAGGACCCCTGTCGGCCCAACAAAAGCAGCCGATATAGGCAAGCACTTGCTGCCCATCGAAATAAAAAAGACTGAGAAGCCCTGTCAACTAGTGGAGTATGCAGCGCAAATCCAACTGGCGCAATCAAGAGTATATGGGGCGTGTGTTGAAAGCTTTCCGTAGCCGCAGTCCTGTGGATGCAGCGGGAAACAAACGCCTGCCTAAGCTGTACGCGCCAGTTAGAGTGTCTGTTCTGAAGGAAGGAAATGTAAATATGACACTGCGGAGAGTGGCTCTGCTTGGATAATATCAGCAACCGCCGGGTGCCACGGGGATGTCACTGCTTTAAAGGAACAACACGCCAAGGGCCGCAATAGCAAAGACGAGCAGACTCGGGGCAACTGCAGGGGCAGAGCCTGTGAGGGATGCCTTGATCTTGTTCCACTGCTCTTCAC